GACTCATTTTTCCACTGTGTTTCAAAATAACCGAACCTTCTGAGCCTACCGATATTATACCAAACAAAATACGAAAGTTTTGGCGAAATTAACATAATTTGTGTATGCCGGGATACCTTTTCGGGACAGGTGTTATACGAAGTTGTAAGGCTAAGATCCGAATACGAAATGCTAACAAAATACGAATTAGATGTTTACTGTGTTAATGACAGTCGATTATGTGTATTTTGGTGGGTATTATACCGAAATATCTGCAAATACAATAACCAGATTTTTTGTGTATACAGGGGTCAATCAAACTGCTAGGGGAGGAAGCTCTAAGTACTAATCCCTAAAAATCCCTAAAAAATATGAAAAAAAAATTGAGTACGGATTTTTTTAAAATAATGTGCTCTAAACTCGAAATCTAGTCATTATTTATAAAAATTTCTTTACAGATAAACGAAGCGATCATGTACAATTAATATTAGTAAGAAAAAAGGACCAATAAACTCCAAACGCAGCAATTATAGCCAAATACTTAGGCAAAGCTGATTTATTTTCACTTTTCCATGGGACACCCTGTATGTACATTTTACACCGCGTCATCTAGTTTTAAACTAAGCACAGCTCGTGCTAATGGGTTATCGTGCAACGGGTATAATAACAAGCTGTTAACAATTACGTATTTTTAAAACATTGAAACAAAATGTAATTATAAGTACCTACTGACATATGAGTCGACTTTTATGTGTTTGAAAGTGGTAAGAGGCGACTATAAAACATCTTCTTCTTCTTCTTATTCGTTATCGTTACGCTCTTGGCAGAGCGGTCGTGGTCACGTTGAGGCGTTGTTCACATCGGTTGTAGAGGCGGATACAACTCTCCGCACAAACTCCCGCCATCTCTCTCTATTGGCAGACTGTCTGGTGCAGTCACATACGCTGTCTCCCACTGCTGATCATCTTACAAAGCGACATTTTACCTAAAATCATGGATGACTAAATTATGTGGTTAGAAAAACCAACTAATACGTTAAGGTATAAAAAAGGCATTTCAGTTAGCCTAATAAGCTACAAAACACAGGTATTTTAAGTCGTATCTAATAGTTGTCTTATGAAGCAACAAAAATATGTATATTTCAGTGTTAAGTTTCCGGGCCTTTTCAAGGCGAAAGTGAATAAGCACTTACATGGCAGATAATGGTACCATTCTAGACTGCATCTCACTCAATATCAGTTGTCAAATACCTGCCATGTCGCCATAACAACAATGTTAACAGCATTATTGTGTTCCGGCAGTTAGAGGTAAGATAGCCAGTTCCTCCGTGGTTGAGGATTCCGGGTGAGGCTCGCTTCCACCTTTGGCCTGATCGCCACTTACCATCAGGTGAGATACAGGCCAAGAGCTTCCGCGTTGTGGATAAAAAAAATGTTCTGTATAAAAAAAGAATCAAACGTTATTTTACAGAGGTAAATCAGTGCAATTGAATCTACAAGTAAAATGTTTGTGATAAATGTATCAATTTCTCAAACAAAACTCGAATGAAACTTGTATGGCTTATCATTGTACGTTCGTTCTTTGTGTATCTGCGTTGCTATGCATTGCATCCTAGAATATGGTAGTCTTGAATAATACAATGTACAAACATTGTTCCGATTCCTTTGAATGGACCTGATACGTTTAGTATAAAGATGGGATTACTCCGTCTTGCGTTACAGATGTATACTGAATTGATGGAAGAGCCTTTTATTGTTATTAGAACAACAAGAAAATAACTATAATGAGATATCTATATAAAGTCAATCAAGATGTGGTGAAGAACCAAACATTCCATTTGTTACAGATTGTGGTAATCTGAGATATTTTTGATAAGTATCAATAGCGCATTCCATCGATTTAGAGCGAGCAAAAGGAGTAGAAATAACAATCAAATACTCATATCATTTGATGAGACCGATGAAAAGTATTCATGATTTTACTTCTTTGACACGCGTTAGGCGCGTTGACACAACTTTCATTCTGAATATTGTCTAGCAAATGTAGCTAATACAGTTTATTTAATGCCATTGGTTACTTAAAAATGGTTTTCGCAGAAAGTTACTCAAGAATTATAAACTATACAACTATGTATTTACAAAAACAAAAAGTATTTAAGTATGTTCATATCCGTTGTCTAGTGCCCATAGTATATAATAATAATTTCCATGGTAAATAAGCATTGCTTGCTGGTTCCTGGATAGCCTCTAGGATATAATGTCAATTTGGCGACTATTCACTTCAGACTATTCGTCCGTCAACTATGAATAGGTATGCCTGTATTAGAAGTCGGTTCACCACAATAGTCCAGCGGTTTGGGACTGGCCAGACGATCTCTCGAATCGACAGTCCAACCACAATATTCCAGCGGTTGACACGGTCCATTTTGGTTTGGATTTAGAACATCTATTAATAAAATTAATATGCTTTGCCCCCGAATTCGTACAAATTATTTTTCCCATATTAATTTGAAAAGCTATGGGCCTCATAAGAAGGCTCAAGGTCACCCAAAGGGCGATGGAGCGGGCTATGCTCGGAGTTTCCCTGCGTGATCGAATCAGAAATGAGGAGATCCGCAGGAGAACCAAAGTAACCGACATAGCTCGCAGAATTGCTAAAATCAAGTGGCAGTGGGCGGGGCGGTAGAGACGATGGCCGTTGGGGCAGGAAAGTTCTCGAGTGGCGACCACGGGCTGGAAGACGTAGCGTGGGCAGGCCTCCTACTAGGTGGACCGACGATCTGGTAAAGGTCGCGGGAAGAGCCCGGATGCGGGCAGCGTAGGACCGTTCATTGTGGAAAACCTTGGGGGAGGCCTTTGTCCAGCAGTGGACGTCATTTGGCTGAGAAGAAGAAGAATTTGAAAAAAAAATCACGTATACTCTGCTCCTATTGGTCATAGTTGTATGACGGCCATAGCCTATCCTATAGCCATAATATTATAGCCTCGATAAAAAGAAAGGACTATGCATTGCAAATTTTTTTTTCAAATCGGACCAGCAGTTCTTGGGATTAGAACATTCAACCAAACAAATACCCTTCATAAAATCAAGTGTAGATTTGAGTGACACAATAATAGATTTCAGAGATCACATGAAACGAAGAATAGGAAAAATCTTCGGCACTATTATGGACTATGTAGAAGAGAAGACATAATTATCACTCCCTGCTGCATCCAGCGCCTTCCTGCTATCTTTATGAGATCGTCGGTCCACCTAGACCACGTCCCACGCTCCACCGTGCAACGTAAAAAGTTCGAACTTCAAAGAGGTTCATCTAGTGATATTTACTTATATCTTCAACTAAAACTTACGACAATAAGTGGGTGAACGTTGGTCATCTCATGCGCAATGGATAAATACGGTTGCATATCTGGGGGCACGGCAGTGCCCCCACCAAGTCGAGCAAAAAAGCGGCACGGCCGTACCATCCTTTTCTCGAAGCAATTCAGGCCATTTTCGACCGCCTGTAACTTCGTTGTGGATAAAACTAGAAGGCTGAATTTTCATTAGCTATGCAGGCATTGTAAAGACACGNAATGGAGACCAAGTTTTTTTTTATGTGAAACGGCTAACGAGCAGACGGATCACCTGATGGTAAGTGATTACCGTCATAGACACCCGCAGAGTGATTACCGTCGCCCATAGACACCCGCAGACCCAGGGCAGTCTTACAAGACTGATTGATGGATCTATACCAAGAACATAAACAGGGGTAGCTGATTGAAATGTTCTTGGGCTTCCGTTAAAACTCGCGCGTTCCGCCTGGAGGCAACTTAATTGAATAATATGCGCTTTGATTAAAGGAAACGTAGAAGCTGTCAATCCTATTAAGCTTTATCCTCCATGGCAGCTCCTAGACTTGACACTAAGGTTATGACGATTCATAGAAGAAAAAACTACTGCTTATTTTACATTTATTTACAATGTTTTGTTTCTTTTAATGAGATCCCATCAAAAACAATACTTGTCAAAAAAACCAAGTCTCGCAACTCAGTTGTTCTACGGTAAAAAGTTGTGAGATCCATGTAATACCAAGTCCAGGCCAGGAAATCTTTAACGTTTTACATAAATATATTGACTTGGCCATCGCATGAAAACACGTGTAAATTAAATTATTTAGTGCGATGGCCAAGTCAATAATTTATGTAAAACGTTAAAGATTTCCTGGCCTGGACTTGGTATTACATGGATCTCACAACTTTTTACCGTAGAACAACTGAGTTGCGAGACTTGGTTTTTTTGACAAGTATTGTTTTTGATGGGATCATATTAAAAGAAACAAAACATTGTAAATAAATGTAAAATAAGCAGTAGTTTTTTCTTCTATGAATCGTCATAACCTTAGTGTCAAGTCTAGGAGCTGCCATGGAGGATAAAGCTTAATAGGATTGACAGCTTCTACGTTTCCTTTAATCAAAGCGCATATTATTCAATTAAGTTGCCTCCAGGCGGAACGCGCGAGTTTTAACGGAAGCCCAAGAACATTTCAATCAGCTACCCCTGTTTATGTTCTTGGTATAGATCCATCAATCAGTCTTGTAAGACTGCCCTGGGTCTGCGGGTGTCTATGGGCGACGGTAATCACTCTGCGGGTGTCTATGACGGTAATCACTTACCATCAGGTGATCCGTCTGCTCGTTAGCCGTTTCACATAAAAAAAAACTTGGTCTCCATTCTTGAACTTTTTTACTCCATCTTTCGTCGATTCTACAATAAACAAACATTGCTAGTACACTGTAATTTCAGCTTGCTATATTTACTAGTTGAACTCACTCGTATCTTACCAAGAAGTTACACATGGTTTCATCCAAAGGAGTTTATACAGGGTATAAATAATAATTTATCTCGGTTGGCCTTGGCTAGAAGCCATTTTGGCAAACCCTTGCTTGTCAATAAATATGTTTAAAGTGGACAAATGAAACAAAGAAAGTACACGTTGACTAGAGAATTTATTTAATATTTTAAACTTTCATTTTTTATAAATTCTTACTATAACAAACACTACCACGGACGAAAATATTGTGCAAATGCGGGTGGGTGAAGAAAATTCATCGCGCCGGAGCAGACGACGCCGCATCCCTTCAGTCAGCCCGCGACCATGACTCGTGCAACCGAGTCGAAACGTCCGGGAAGGTAAAAACCTTTTTACCTTTTTAAAAGTGTAGTGTTTGTGTGCAATCAAATCCCGTTATAGTGATAATTTAGAGCATTTATAATCTAGAGTTGAAAAGGCGTTAATGACTGAAATCATGATCAACTTTCTTAAAGCACTAGAAATTGGTGCCATATAAACATTTATGTCGACAGGTGATGGTACTTTATTTTGGATTATAACACAGATATTTTTTTTATTTAGTCTGTGATTTACTTAGAAGAGTGTAGTAGCTGTAGGCTCCTTTTATGATCTGTAAAATAAAAAAATATCTTTTCTTTCCAATCCAAATAAAGCAATTTTAAACTTGAGATTCAAACAAACTTTTACCAATCGATAAAGTACTGAGTGTAAGCAGGCCTCCCACTAGGCGGACTGACGATCTAGTGAAGGTCGCGAGAAGCACCTGGATGCGGGCAGCGCAGACACAGACGTTGTGGAAATCCTTGGGGGAGGCTTTTGTCCAGCAGTGGACGTCGTTTGGCTAAAATGAACGAATTGTACTCATTATCTTACGCTCAGGAAAGTAGCCACAGTAAGCTTGGTGAACGGTCCTGCTGAGAAGACCACGACTTGGCTGAACTGAGCTGTGAGGATGTACAGGTTCTTGCGATGGGAGACATCTCTGCACCACCAGAGGCTCTCGTATGGACCCTGGCTGAGTTGGAGACTCTGAAAGTCAAGGCAATGTCAGATAATGAAAATAGATAAAATTACTTAGCTTAAGATTTCCGCTTAAGGTAGTCTTTCTAACTAAGCGTCACAGACGCAGAGTCTTGACTTACCATATTCCCTGTGCTATGTCAATAAATAATATTATTTTTCGTGTCAAATTGACATCCCATTTAACATTGCACGCGATATTGTGAATTAAATTTTAGCCATGCCGCATTGCAAAATCCAGTAAGTATCAACTTGTTTTTTCTATGTGCCAAATAATGAATATTATACTATGAAGATTTTGAAAAATCTAAATCAATCATAACACTATTTTAGTTTTTATAGTTGTGAGTTAATTGTGTTTTTTTTTTACTTTCTATATTACGAAATTCCATACGAATCCACCACTGCAACTCCTGTATGTATAGCTAGGAGTTGCACCATGATTGTCAATAAAATGTTAGCTAGTGAAAGCCAATTTTACTGTCATTAGATCGATCTAATATTTAATTTTTGATAAAACGCACTTACTGGGTTTTATAATGAGGCCGCTTACCAGATTCCAAGAAGAGCCCATATGTTACAATAGCTGTAACCTTTTCCTGGAATAGGAGTATGACACTTACCTTCTCGATATCAAATTCGTTTCCCCGTAGTTTGGGGATATTGCCCTGTTATTAAAAGTGAAGGTAGTGTTACAAGTGTAGTTTTATGTCTACCTAATTCGTTAATGCGTGTACGGAGTTTAAGTTTCTATGTTATGGCAATTGTCCTTCTATTATCAAAATCTTATGAACGAAATAGAGATATTTTTCATACTTTTTTACAAAGTCACTGTCATATCGACTATTTTATCGTTCTTGGATGTCGTAAAGGAGAAAATATGCGAACATTAGACCTCTCTAACTTATTTAGAAGTGTAGGTCAATTCCTCCCCTTTACTTCTGGTAAATTACAAAACTTTTTATGCAAGACAAGGCAGGTATTTGAGCAAGTGAGATGCAGTCTAGGATGGTGGCCCTGTAAGTGCCTATTCACTCTCGCCTTGAAAAGGCCCGGATTATAGTGTTCAGGAAAGACAGCAGCAGGCAGCAAATTCCAGTCCCTAGCTGTTCGCATTAATAATCCTCCTGAAATGGAGACTAAATGATTTGATGATGTTAAGTGTACACATACTGCATAATAAACGTCGTTGCTGTGCCAGCAATAGATAAACAGCTGCGCTATACCGAACACAAGGTACTCAGTAGTCAAGAACTGCTGCATAGCGCTCGTCTCCGACTGAAACAAAATTAATACTAGTTCAAAAGTAGCATTCGTTTTCATTAAAAAACAGAAAAAAGCAAAGTAGTTGATGTTAAAGTTGATAGTTGGACCCAATTCAAATTTGTATGAAGAATCGGCCAATAGCAAATCGGTGTGATGTGCGCCCTTTCATACTTTACACCTTCATACTGAAACTAATTAACAGCTCGATCCAACTATGGGCCAACTAAAAGTCGGTGGTCTGCGTCTATGCTTAGGCTGCATTTCCACTGAAGAAAGCTGGGCGAAAGGGAGAAGTGTGATCATCTATCTATCTATATAAATAAAAATGAATTGATGTTCGTTAGTCTGATTATAACTNGCATTTCCACTGATGAAAGCTGGGCGAAAGGGAGAAGTGTGATCATCTATCTATCTATATAAATAAAAATGAATTGCTGTTCGTTAGTCTGATTAAAACTCGAGAACGGCTGGGCCGATTTAGCTCATTTTGGTTTTAGAATGTTTGTCGTAGTCCAGGGTAGGTCTAAATGGTGAGCAAATACGCGCGCGATATTGTTTTTCTGTGACAGACAAAATTCCACGCGGGCGAAGCCGCGGGCGGAAAGCCAGTATTTTGATATGTCACATAGTGTCGCTTGCGTCGCTTTAAAACGAGTCATCGTTTCGGCTTTGAGGTTGAGAGCCATCTGCGCTCACCTGTTGTCCGGTGAAGCTGAAAAAGCTGCTCACGGCTATCAGCATAGTCCGGCCGAAAAAAAAATGAAAAAAAAATCGTTTCGGCTGATAGACGTCCACTGCTGGACAAAGGCCTCCCCCAAGGACTTCCACAAAGACCGGTCCAGTGCCGCCCGCATCCAGGCACCTCCCGCGACCTTCACCAGATCGTCAGTCCAAGGTGTTCGCACAAATAATTTCAGTTGTTTTTTTTCAAATTTACTGGGTACTTACAGTAATTTGATAAGCAGTGACACACAGCATTACAGAGCAAACGAACATGTATAACAACATTATTGGCGATAGACAAGCATCGAACAAGCGGGAATATCTGGAACAATAAAAACAATTTAATAAACTGCTTTTGTATCCCACAGCTGGACAAAGATCTCCCTCAGATCTGTCTAACAATCTGGTGTAGTCAGGATAGTCAGACCTTTTAAAATCATTGTCGAACATTAAAGGGTCCCATGCCAGCGATGTGGAAGTCATTGGGGGAGGCCTATGTTCAGCAGTGGACGTCCTATGATGATGAAAGGATCCCAAGACAGTCTAATTAACTAATACGCCAATACCTAGTCATTTTTTACCTGTATCGTGGTAGGTAATATTAAATTATAATTCTTACAATCCCGGGATCTGTCTTCGTGTCTACGTCAATAGTCTTTTTTGACCTGTATCGTGGTAATAATACTAAAACTGATAATAATTCTTACAATCCCAGGATGTGTCCTCATGTCATTGCACTTGCAGTGACGTATTTAGCTCAAAACCCCAAGAAACAGTCTCAGCTATCTTCAGTTTTCGTGAATAGTTATTATCCCAGAAGCCAAACCCAAAATAAACCCAAACCCAACAGACAGAACCCAAAATAACTCGATAAGAACTCGCAGCTACGAAACAATTAAAACTAACCGTACCTTAATAACATAACGGTTTGAGGTGGTATCAGATGTTATCGTAGCTTATTGTACCTTATCGTACCTTATTGTACCTTATTGTACGGAATTGTGTTACATGTGCTCGAGAAATTCAGAATTAACAGCCGAAAGTCAATCTAACTTGAACACTTAGGTTTGTGCGATAAATTCGACGCAATAGGGTTGGCAGAAGAGTCTGGAAATTTTGAATGAGATTTTTGAATACTGACTAGAATTCAGTTGGTTAGAGCAGTGTTTTTCAACCTTTTTCATGACGCGATCCTCCTAGCAAGAAAAACATTTTTGCGACCCCCCGACCGTTCGCTTTTTTTATGCCTTTTACGAAGATGTTGTAGGGACCGAATTCTTCAATCTGTACAACATTTATGCATTTGCATAATTAGATTTCAGATAAATCTTGCTTTAAAACTTTACTGTTTTTTTACTGAGGTAGTTTTTACGACCTCTCGCGACCCTCTTATAGAGGCTTCGCGACCTCCAAGGGGGTCGCGACCCACAGGTTGAAAAACACTGGGTTAGAGTAATGATACTTCATTCGTTTCAGCGGAAAGACGTTCACTGCTGGACTAAGGCCTCCCCCAAGGTTTTCCATAAAGACTCGTCCTGCGCCGCCAGCATCCAGGCACTTCCCGCGGCCTTTACCAGATCGTCGGTTCACCTAGTACTTACACGTTACTAGCATGAAAACATGCCAGTCTTGGGCAATATGTGTGTCGAATCATTGCTAATAATTATGCATGCTCATTTCGAGTTGTTGGAACACGTTCTTTTAAGCATACTAAAATTAAAGAGGTAAATTGGTTTCAAAACTTATGGAGTTTAGCCGGTTTCCGAGTGTAAATCAGATAAACGTAGAGTAGCACGTCCTCTGCTCTATAGACAGTTCTTAGTTTGATCCGTCTGACCAGTGAAGAGATCCGTTTATGATCGTGAAAAGTAGACAATAATACGAACCAGGCATGCTACAGTTTATTGACAATTTAACCAATTTATGTTTTTTACGCACGCATTCACAAACATTACTATGAGGTCTCACAGTGCGCGTGGACGCACAGGGTGATAAACGAACCAATCACAGAGCTCTATTCAACGCTGTACGTTTAATTTGGAGGTTCACTTAAGCAAGCATCGTTTGTGAATACGGGTGTTAGATACTCTCCACGTCTTAATCAAAAACAAACGACAACGATTGCCCAGACTTCAAAAACATTAAAGGAAAAACTGAATGATTAAGTAATAATTTAACGCTGTGAATGTGTGTGTTTATCCGGGTTATTTACTCCCGAATAAAGGAGGACGGAAAAGGGAATACTTATTGTCTTTTTCCCCATATCTGACTAGTGACAACCCTACCCTAACTTTGTTTACGACTTTCCCTGCACAGATTAAGATGGGATGTTAGAAATTACTTCTTATATAGATATTTTCACTTCATCCGAGGGAAACTTTGGATTGGAATGCGTCTACACTGGCGAATCTTTTTATTTTTAACGTGTGGTGCATATGAGGCAATAGAGCAGTTCCTGACTAAAAATAGTAGTATTTATAACACAAGCATATTTAATATTTAGCTTGTAGTATAGATCGTTTCATCCATGAAGACGCGCCCCGCCATTCTTTCGCTAGTGTTTGAGTGTTATTGGTACACGCTTCCATGAGTGCACACGCACATTACAATAATGACGCTCGGATTGCTCGGATCAAACTCCCTGCACCTCACGCTTCCCTCAACCAAAAATTGGTGGGGAGCGTCTTCGTAGAGAAAACGATAGCAATACAAAGTTGAGTCACTGCCCATTTGCAACGAAATTTTTATAGGTGTCTTGCAGGTATGCAAGCAAAAGACCTGAATAAGATTTTTTTTATAAGATAAATGAATAAGATTAAAAATTAACACCTTTTCGATATAAGGTTTAATAAAAACTTATGATTACTTAATAATACTTACTTCAAAGCAATATTAATTAATATTTGCATCGCAAATATAAACAGAAATAACTATGGAATTTAACCTTATTTTAAATTTTCTCGTATAATTCCAGATCCACCAGTGTAGACGTACCCTAGCGTATTCGGTTAGGATTTTTCATAAAAAAATTTTATATTGTCAACAAGCGAGAGTTTGTTAAAGAAAGTTGTAAACCACTTTGAAATATCCTTTTTCTTTTCATTGTACAGATGTTTTGCAATCATCTGATAATTTCGTTTCAGCTACATACCGTTTTTTGTTTTTTTTTTTCAATACTGTTTTAGCCGTACCTTTGATTAAATATCAAATAACATATTTGTCTAAACTGTTTTTTTAAGCTAAGCAATATTTGTGGCTAGCTCAAATTTTTTGCTTTTTAAATTTTAATAAACAATGAACATTAAAACATTTTCTGACTGTTAGAATTTTAATTCAATTTTTTTTTGAAACCACGTTTAATAGGATGGCAACACAGGTCTTTTTCCGAAAAGGAAAACATACATTTTCTAATTTGCAACAGTGTCAAAATATCGGAAACTTGAAAATAAGGTAGGTACTACATGATAGCAAACCCGTCAATAATAAAATTACTATGAAGTTTAAAACACAACATTTTCTAGTCTTGGTTTTCTCGAAAATGAATTTCTCGAAAACCTTTGTGCAACTGAATTATTGCCAAAGTACATCTACGTATAAGATTAGTATTTTATTAACAAGAGCTTTGCTACAGAATTGAAGACTGTTGGCTCTTTGTCTATTATGGTTAAACTGTAAACTACTATACAGCGTGGAAACTTACTTGAGCCAACTTCTTGAAGTTACACCGAGACACGCCACAAGTTGGTTAACATGGCTCAAACTTGGCTACAAAAACCGTTTAGACCATAAAACGGTGGTTAGCTAAGTGTTAATGCTCAAAATTGTTTGAAATTCGTGGAAATTGAGATTAAATTGCGCAGACTATAAGTTTCATACCTATACTTACTAATATTATAAAGCGGACGAGTTTGTATTTTTGCTTGAATAGGTACGCTAATGTCAAAAACTACTAGACCGATTTAAAAAAAATATATTTTGTGTTTTAAAACCCGTTTATAGAGGAAGGCGTTAGGGTATTGTTTAACGTCACCTTTCATTCAATGGGGTCGGAGCAGTAAAGATAAATTTTGCACACGGGAAATATTATTCAAAACTATTTTCACTCGTACAAAGTCGCGGGCAGAATCTAGTCGGTATCATCATCTTTTTAGCCATATGACGTCCACTGCTGAACATAGGCCCCTCCTAATGCATTCCACGTTGATCGATTGGTAGCGGCCTGCGTCCAGCGCTTCCCTGCTACCTTTACGATGTCGTCGATCCACCTTGTAGGTGGACGTCTCACGCTGCATTTTCCGGTACGCGGCCTTCATTCCAGAACCTTGCTGCCCCATCGGCCTTTAGTAGTTGGTAATATAAGTCATATCTACACGTACAAAACCAGTAAACAAATTATAAAATAAGTATAATGAAGACATACTTGAGCAACTCTACATGTCTCCTATGGCAATCCTTGAGCCTCTTCAATGCCACTTCATCAGAAACCGGCTTCGTTTCAGTCCCAAACATGTTAGAGCAATCAATCTTCAACAGCTCTAATTCAGCTTTGAAAAACACCATGATGACCATGGCGTTGCTATCAAAAGATGTGATCCAGCCTCCACCATATATTGCTGCGTAGGACTGGAAAGCTGACGCGGTCAAATATCCTGGGATCGTGCTTTTGTCCCATGGCACCCATGAACTGACCACCTGCAATGGGAAAAAATTATGGCCATTTTTTTAAAGGGTCTATCAGCACTGGTGTGTCAGAATGAGGTGGTCATCATTGCGTGGAAAGTCTGAAGGAACACGGTCTTCTTTATTTCATCAAAGACAAGTGGTGGATTCAGCCTGAACTTCCCACACTGGTCGCTACTGGTCAGACAAGTTAAGGTGGACTGATATACGCATATTTAGTCCCTGACTAGTTAACTTACGACATTCATGGGAACAGTGGGAGTGGTCCCATTTTACTCAGCAGAAACCAAACGATCAAACAAAATGCTCATAAGAACTTAATCATCAAAGATTACATCAAATGAAATCATTTATTCAGTACTTAGACCCTTTACAGGGCTTTGTAGAGCAGGGTGGATATAGTTTGCTCTACCACCACTTCGGTACACCATTATGAGCTGGTACTGAGAAGAAGTGGCGAAAAAAACCCAGTCACCTTTGTCAGCCCCTTTTTCAATCTATTATATAAAAGAAAGTCGTGTTAGTTACTCCACTTATAACTCAAGAACGGCTGAACTGATTTAGCTGAAAATTGTCAGGGAGGTAGTTTAGAGCCAGGAGAAGGACATAGGATACTTTTTATCCCGTTATTTATTGCCATTAAGGCGGAACAAAGTTCGCCGGGTCAGCTAGTAGTTCATAAGAGTAACCAATTTATTACAAAACCTACCTGTAAATAACTATCCGTGCCATTCTTCACGTTTTCTCTGTAATTTCTCGCCAAGAAATACTTGAAGATCGGCTGAAAGATCACAATCACCACCGTAGTGTACATCAAAGACCAATAGAACAACGTAATTTTGCGGCAGTATCTGGTAGATTTGGTGATAAGGACATTCTTTTCGACGTCATCGGTTGTTCGCTGAGCCACATCTGCTCTAGTGACGTATTCAATGATGTCTTTCCAGTGCTGCTGCCAATACAAAAAGGTGGTGATTTTTAAAACGCTCATGGTTGCCAGCATTGTGATCTTTAAGTTGTTTAGGATAAGGTTGAGATCGTATTTGATGAACCAGATGTCGACGTATTCGGTAGCCGTAAAGATTGTTACGAGCACATGCATGAGCAGGTAGAAATACTTCATGTAGATATTCTCTGGGAGGAGTAATCCCCAAAATTTTAGTGCCTTAACGTTGGGCCCAAGTAAGGGTCTCTTAGGGTTTTCAAGTCTCTTGAGGACGTTCAACATTTTGAAGGGAAATTTATAACAATAGAGTTCTGAAATGTGCCGGCGGTGTTTTATGTTAGTGACTTGGAAATTATTATGCCGATCAAATGAATAGTGAGGCGAAATTACGAATAATTTTGGGCGTAAATAAAATTCGTCGGTGAAACTTGGATGAAAATCGATGTTGTCTTTTCATCTACTGATTTGATTTCCTTACAAAAAATATTCTAGATATTTTTTGTACCAATAGTTATAAGATGGTAAATTGAATGAAAATGAAGTCATGTTTAATATTTTTTTATTAATGTTGAGAATTAACATTTTAATTTTGAACTTAAATTATACAAAAATGCAAGCTTGAGAAAAAACATAATTATTATTATGTCGCAAGTTTTCAAGTATTTTTGTTTTGAAATCTCGGTTCATTTCGTTCAGCTATTTCGACGAAATAACCAGAGTTATTTCCAAATACCGCTATTTTTATAAGGTGCTACGATACTCTTTATCGATAACATAGACATCAAAAGTGATTACATCCCTAATAAATCACTAAAACATAATGGCGTAATTATTACACAATCCGAATGTAGAATTATGTTCAAGGTGTCGCCAATTCATGTAATTATCTGTCATTATGTCACAATAATTACGAGGCGTGAATAATGTCTTCATTTTCTTGAATTACTGTGTAGAATATTCCATAGCTTTTTCTATTATAATCTTTTGTTGTTTCTGTCATAAAAGGATTCTTTTTATTTTTTATCAAAGGATATTTTGTATGTAATTAATTTTGTATTTACATATTTATTGCTAATATTATTTCAGCAATAAATTTGTTGATACAAAACCCCGTTAATCCCTGGTGGTATAAGCTAAATAATATGATTTTATTACGAGTAAGCTCACTCACCACAATAGTCGGGTGGCGGCGGGAATCGAACCCGCGTTCCTATTGAACCACGAGTTGGCTAATTGAATTCGGCTATCGTTGCTTTTTTGTGCAGCTGTGGGCGTCTTTAGGTTGAAAGTCAGGAAGCAGGAAAACTTCACTTACAAAATGTCTACTTCATTTAACATCCATAAAGCGCATCCATCCTTAAAAATACTAAGTTACAAGCTGCTTTATTAAGCAACTAAAACCATTTCTCAGTTCATATTTTTATCTCCAGAGCCACAAGTAATTACTGGAGTATCACTTAAACCATTTTTTCCTTAAGAAATCTCTGTCACGCCACAGTAAAAATAGATACAGTAAATAAACTTTATCCCGCGTTGTTGACATAAAGGACATCATCCACGTTTCACATATTTTTGGTCCAAAATCAAAAGTGCCGGCCAACAAAAAAAGTGCTGTATTCTGACAGAATACGTCTGCCTTAGCATTTGTTACTATGGCACCAAAGTCGTAGCTCCACTGTGCGTCGAGTATTTGAGATCTAAAAGTCATCGACTATTCATACATTTTTTGTTCAAAATCAAAAATGTCGGCCAATAAAAAAAAAGTGCTGTATTCTGACAGAATACGTCCGCCTTAGCATTTGTTACTATGAGACCAAAGCTGTAGTACCACTGTGCGTCGTAGTATTTGAGATCAAAGTCAGTCGTTTCATATATTTTTAGAACTCAAATACTACGATGCACAGTGGTGCTACAGCTTTGGTGCCATAGTAATAAATGCTAAGGCGGACGTATTCTATCGAATACAGCACTTTTATTTTTTGGCCGGCACTTTTGATTTTGGACCAAAATGGATGATGTCCTTTGGCCTGCATCTCACCTGATGGAGTGATGATTAGGCGAGGGTGGAAGCGACCTTTACCCGGAAATCCTAACCACAGAGGAACTGAGTAACTTAATTCTAACTGCTGGAACACATTCATGTTGTTTACATTGTTGTTATGGCAACAGACTTATGCCCGTTTTCGCCATCAATCCCTAATTTTTAAGTGACCCCTTTGAAAACAAAATTCCTGTTATGTGTTACCATAGGGGTCACTTAAAAATTAGGGACTGATGGTGAAAACGAGCATTAGATGCTTAAACTTAGGTGATGGTAGCTAGCCAGTCTGGCTGAGAACAAGTTTTACCGTTACCGCCAAATTCTACCCCCACTAGGAATCGAACCCGGGACCTGGGTCTAAAGCAGCTGGTTTTACCAATAGACCACAGAGGCGGTTACGTTTAAATATACACTCGGCATCAAATAAATCGCACCTCCCGCAACAAGCACTTCTCAATAGTATGCTCCCCACTTCCCACCAACATTGGTTCCATTTGAAAGCCTAGTTCTAAGCTTCATTTCATTAAAGGAAAGGTTTTTAACCCATAAATGTGTTTTTAGAAGGATCCAGAGTAACTTCTTCAAAAAATAGGTAGTTACGCTTGAGCCAAATTTCATGGTTATAAAACTGTTAAATTGGGATTAATCGCTATCCATCTGTTAAAGAGGACACGTAAGATCATTATTTGGTTTTATAACCATAAAAATTGGTCTAATTGATCCCAGAGGTGAGCCCAAAGTGAAGTCTTTTTTCAAGTCACATTTATGGTATATGTTAATCATTTATTAAGAAATTAAATGTAATTTTTTTTATGGATATTTATTGGGCTTTCAAATTACACCAATATTTTTGGGGCACCATGATTGTGTCAGAAGAAAATCTTTAAAGTTCGCGTCGCGGAAGGTGCGATTTATTTGATGTTGAGTATATTTCTTTTTGTTACTTTACTTTTTTCAAAGTGCATCTATTGCAGAGCTGTATTTCTGAACCGTTTTATACTGTGGTGTTGAGAAGAATAGTTCATTTTGCCGGATTTGTAAGTAAGCTCTATTTGTAAGAATGCTTTCAGAGAATTAACTGTTACTATCAACCTGCTAGGGATGTGACACAGTACGAGATAAGCCAATTCAATTTTATTTTGTGTATTTTTTAGAAAGTTACAATTAGAATTACGTTATTTGTAAAAAATCGCTTTAATCAAAGTATTTGTTGAATGTAAAAGAATCGTACGTTCCACTTCATTCTTATGATGTTGTGTTGACTTGAAGTGTTGGCATGGCAAGACATATTGAGACGTGTTTACGTGCTCTGAAAGAGACTTCATCGTTCATTCAGCCAAAGGACGTCCACAGCTGGACAAAAGCCTTCCTATCTTTTCTTTTTCACGGACTTCTGACGACGACGACGGTTCCTGCTCTGAGCGTATCCAGGTATTTCCCATGAGCACCAGATCGTCTGTGTATTGAGTGAATTTATTGTTGATAATATACACTCGGCATCAAATAAATCGTACCTCCCGCGACAAGCACTTATCAAACGTATGCATCCCTACTTCCCACCAACATTGGTACCATTTGAAAGCCTAGTTCTAAACTTCATTTCATTAAAGGAAAGGATTTTACCTAAAAAATGTGTCTTTAGAAGGATCCAGAGTCACTTCCTCAAAAAATAGGTAGTTACGCTTGAGCCAACTTTTATGGCTATAAAACTGTTAAATTGGGATTAATTGCTATCCATCTGTTAAAAAGGACACGTAAGATCATTATTTTTGGTTTTATAACCACAAAATATGGTCTACTTGGTCCCATAGGTGAGCCCCAAGTGAAGCCTTATTTCAAGGCACATTTATGGTATCTGTTAAATGTTTATAAAAAATAATAATGTGTTTTTCTTTAAGTTTATTTATTGGGCTTTCAAATAACACCAATATGGTTGGGGCACCATGATTGTGTCAGAAGAAAATCTTTAAAGTTCGCGTCGCAGAAGGTGCGATTTATTTGATGTTGAGTGTACCTTCTTTTCGCTTGTATTGGAGTGAGACCCTAATATACACGATCAAAGAGCTTGTCGCCTTTGTTTCGATTCATCCATCTGGATTATTGGATTTTTATCTGAAATTGTCCAGAAAGCTAATTAAACGAGATAACGATTATGGGATAACTTGTTTGAAGGAGTTGTTTATTGGTTTAAGGAAATAATAACTGGGAAAGGGTTTGTAACAACTCTCAATTATTTTATGGGTGAAATCAATTTAGAGCTATTTTCAACCGACTTCAAAAAAGGNCCTCTCTACAGATTTATTAAAAGTATAGATATTATTGTAAAGCCTGGTCCGTGAGCACGTAGAATTTTGTTCAATGACCCCAAGCTACCCATCCTTATTGCTCGCGCGTAATTATGTTGCTTTCGCGCTCGCACACTCACTGCGGGCGCCCGTCGCACAGTCGCGACAGCAATAATATAATTACACGCGAGCGACAAGGATGGGTAGCTTGGGGTCATTGGACTAAATTCTACGTGCTCACGGACCAGGCTTTAGCAATAAATTTGTAAATACAACACCCAGTTAATCCCTGGTGGTATAAGCTAAATAATATGCTTTTATTACGAGTAAGCTCACTCACCACAATAGTCGGGTGGCGGCGGGAATCGAACCCGCGTTCCTATTGAATTACGAGTTGGCTAATTGAATTCGGCTATCGTTGCTTTTTTGTCCAGCTGTGGGCGTCTTTAGGTTTGAAAAAAAAAGTCAGGAAGCAGGAAAACTTCACTTACAAAATGTCTACTTCATTTAACATCCATAAAGCGCTTCCATCCTTAAAAATACTAAGTTACAAGCTGCTTTATTAAGCAACTAAAACCATTTCTCAGTTCATATTTATATCTCCACAGCCACAAGTAATTACTGGAGTATCACTTAAACCTTTTTTTCCTAAAGAAATCTCTGTCACGACACAGTAAAAATAGATACAGTAAATAAACTTTATCCCGCGTTGTTGACATAAATGGCAATGCCAGATTTTGTATGGAAAGTGGCGTCTTTTTTTTTTTCGCGCGGCCATCGACAAAACTTTGTTTTTTGATTACAAAATATAGTAATAAACCAAACTTACTATGGCATGTACTCTAAACTCAGTCTGAACTGAGTTACGAGCATTAGAAGTTTGATGATTTTCATACTAGATTTGCTTTTTGTGCGCAAGTTTTGTAAGAAATTGCAACAAAATATTGAGGTATTTTTTTATTGCGCTGATTCTGCTCCATACTGATGTCTGGAGCCTTTAACCCTACGGTGGTCGC